CACACACACACACTTACTTTAGGCCAAATGAAGCTTGAAAAATACTCAAGTTAAAATAAAGACTTGAAAAAGCATTAGCAGTTCTTTCCTTTGTAGGGAAGCTGTCTGTAAGATTTGAACTGCTGTGAATATGATTTGGATTCTACTCTACTCTTTCCTGAGACTGTTTTCCAGACAAGCCCAGCTGTTCTGGGGAGGAACCCAGTGGAAGTGTTGGGTCCCCTTCACTCCTGGCCTCCTCTTCAGCCCCAGGCCAGAGGCACCCACCCAAATTGGGGTGCCCTCCCCAGCTGGCTCTGCAGGTCCTCCCTCAGCCATCGGGACCCCTTTCATTGGACAGGGCTCTGACAAAGTGTCCACTTTCCTCTCTAAATCTAGTAAAATAATTTAAAATCAAACTCTGAATGTGGCTAATCCCCCTTTCTCCTGATCATGAAAGCCTGTCTCCTAAAGCAATGTCTCTCATCTTTGAGAGAACATCAGATGAACTTGTTAAAATGCCAATTCCTGGGCCCACATCACTCCCATTCTGGTCCCATAAGCCCTGAATCTGCATTTCTAACAAGCTCCCCCACCTGATTCTGGAAGCCTCTGGATTCACATTGAGAAATCTTTTTCGGAAGTGCTTGCTGGTCACATTCACCCAGCTACATCCCTGAGTTAATAGTTAGCACGATGCCCCAGGCACTGCAGGGGCTCCCCGGTCCAGTGGGGAGAGAAGGGAGGGCGACTCAAGAGAGATGGACCCGAGCCAGGAGGATTCCCAATTACCACTGCAAAACAGGCTGGAAGAAGCATTGCGTTTATAAAAATGTCTCTGAAAAATGTGTCAACCAGCGCTGAGTCCCTTTTAACCAAGAATTCTGTAAAGGACACAAGAGCATGTGTCACACAGACAACATGGCCACAGGACAAGCCAACGATGCGGACTTGGGAGCCATGAGCTGCAAGTGAATGAAAACGCATCCAATTCAGAATCAAATAAACATGCCTGGGCCCACCGCCAAGGAGAGTTCTTGGATTGGACTTTTATCAGGGACCTAAATTTTAACCAGCTGGAACTTCTTCTTTTCCAAGTACCACCCTATTCCTTTCTACCTTTCGAGATGAAGTATTTGCCTTAAATGGGAAACTTGCACCTCACTGTGAAGACAACGCCAGCATTCTAGCTTCCTGAATTCCTGAAAGAGCACACGTTTTGGGGGTAGAAATTGTGTTCCAGGATAACAGACCAGAGAAGGTAGGAAAGTACTGTATCCCATTTAGGCAGGAAGGTAAGCAATGTTCCTCCTCCCCCACTGCAGGAAAAGCCACTAAATAAAAACCTGTGCAAGTAGAATCTTAATTCTTTGCTCCATAAACAGTCTCCCCAGACACCCAGCAAGACAAAAGGGGAGGGAAAACTCAGCATAAGTCATGGACATAAAGTTACCCATCACAAACAAACCCATTCCTCTAGAAGAAAGCATGAGTTAAGATCCAGTGTCAATGAGGATGCAAAACTTCCCCTCTGGAAGTTTTACAAATTGTTACTTCTTTTGGAAAACTATATTTATTACTCAAAGAGCAACTTTACCTGGCAAGGGCCCTTAGAGATTTTTTTTTCTTCAAGTAGTCGAGGAAGTATGCCCACAACTCATTTTGAAAACACTGAGCTGTGTTCAAGATGGTATCGGCCCTTAATTGCGCCGCTAATAATGGGGAGGTTGTGAAATCTGACCACGTAAACCAGGCCAGCTCCTCTGAGAGCAGCCCTAAAGGCTGTGTTAGCAGAGCTGCCAAGGGAGGGTTAGCTGGCTGCAGTCACCTTACAAGTCCTGGGAAAATACACATTTCTGGAGGGGCAAGAGTTCCTGGAACAAATGCTTCCTGGAGATCAAGGGGGTCATTCGCTCAGCTCCTCTTCAGCACCCTGCTATCCCCCTCTAAGGTTCTCTGTGGCCTGAACCCACGGGAAGCTCTATCCTGTTCGCATCACACATAGTCAACCCTTATTCTTATATGTTCACACAGCCCCAGCTAGACTATAAGCAACCTCAGAACTGAGACCAGATCTATGGGCTGAACACTCACTATCTGGTAGGAGACTCAGACATGAATCAAATTCCCAAGTCAATGTACATCAGTATTTACTGGCCAGTCCTACAACAGAGCAACTTCTGGAAGAACTTACTTGGGGAGGTGGGAGCAGGGAAGGCTTCCCACAGGGAGTGATGCTGGAGCTGAGAGGGGAGGCTGAGGTGTAAAGAGAAGGAACACCAGAAGGAAGAGCATGTGCATAAGCCTGTTGTGGAGAGGACACTGGAGCCTGGTGCTCTGACCTCTCCCCTACTTCTTTTTTTTTTTTTAAATCCTCACCAGAGGACATTTTTCCATTTTTGTTCAGATAGAGTGGGAGGGAGAGAGAGAGAGAAACATCGACGTGAAAGGGACACATCGAGTGGTTGCCACCCGCACAACCCAACTGCAACCGAGGTATGTGCCCTTAGCGGGAACCGAACCCCGGTCTCCCTGGACCGAAGGCCGATGCTCTAACCACTGAGAAAAACTGGCCAGGACTCTCCCCTACCTCTTAAAACCTGTCACTTAATACAGAAGTTAGTAGGATGGGTGCATAGTATAACCAGGTTCAGCCAAGATTTATAGGGCTCTAGGCTCTGAGGCCACCATGATGAGGTTAAGTGACTGCCTAAAGAAACTAGTCTGAAGACACAGATATGAACAAACGCAGATGATGCAGTCTGGCGGGAACCAAAGTGTAAGGACCCACATGAGAAAGCAAAGCAAGGGGAATGGCATTCTGGGAGGCCTTCTCTGAGGAGGCATCACCTGAGCTGAGTCTTAGGCCAAATGAGTTCTCAGAGGAGGAAAGGCATCCCAGGATCACAGAAAAGTATGCCTTGGCAGCATAAAGGGCACAGGAATTAGGAAGCAGTGTGAGAGGGGCTGAGGCTGGGAAAATGGGTATGCAAGGCAGATGGGCAAGCTGGGTCAGGGAAAGTTGGTGGCTCCATAACATGCACCAAGAGGCAGGTCCAAGAGGGAAGGAACCACACATGAGGTTGGGAAGAGCATGGAATCTGGAAGATGGTCCAGAGGTTTCCATGCTCCTTGAAGAAGGGGATGAAGATGACCTAAGGAAAGGATTGGTGGAGCCATCACCCTCAACTAGAAGTTGTGGTGGGAGAGAGGTCATCATAAATGTGAGGCCACTGGGGAAAGGGCACCATTAATTCTGTGGGGTTGAACAAAACGACAGAGGCTTGGCTCCCCACCGCATTAGAACTTCACGAATTTTGTGCACTGACACAGGAAGCCACCTAGGCAATTGCAGAAAAACAGGAAATTGGACTGATTCCCCTATGTTGTCATATAAAATCCCAGAATAAAATGCCTATGATGCTGTTACAGTTATTCAAAAGCCAACCTATCCGTCTAGATCCACAAAACCTAGGAGGATCAATATGAGATAACTTTAAAAAAAACTTTTTAATCTGCAAACATGGTATCTTTTTAAAAATAAAAACACAAGAATATTGATATTTTACTAAAAAGAGAGTAAGAAAATGTCATGTTTTACTCAAATAGGAAGGAGCTTTTATATTCACCATAGAGTTTGTGAGAGGGTGGGTTATAATTGTCTTATAGTGCAGCTCTTGGATTTAAAGACATCCCAGCTGCCCAACTCACACCTGGTTTTCCACACTGTGTTTCTCAGAATGTGGGGCAAGTGAGCTGGAGGCACTAGCCTGTGCCCCCAAAGGGGTGTCAGGTCCTAGGCTTTGACTGTGCTGAGGCCCTTCAGGGCACCTCAGAAGAGGTGGGTCAGTGTCACTCTAAGCAAACTACCTCATACCCATCCCTCAGAGCAACAGTGCTGGGAAAGTAGAAAATCCCCATTTACTCCCATTTTCCAGGTGAAGAAATTGAGGCTCATGGCTGCCCAGGAGCAGAGCCAAGGTCATGTCCATGGCTGCCTGAGCACAAAGCCCGTGTCCTCGACACAAGGCTGAAGGCTGAGTGCCCTGAGGCCGGGCCCGCCCTGGCTTCCGTGGTAGGTACGGGGCAGATGGATGCTGTTTCCAGGTACCGGGACCGCCCAATGCCAAGAATCCTGGTAAGGACCAGGGACGGCAGCGTCCTGGTTCACCCAGCCCCTCACCCATGCCCCTCTGCCCAGACAGCAGGGAGAAGCGCTCGGTTACCGGGGAGGGCTCCAAGCACACGGCGGAAGTCTGTGCACCCTCCAACCTCGTCTCGGGCACCTGACGGAGAGGACAAACTCTTGCCTCCCTTTGGCAATGAAAAATATCCTCAATTCAAGCTGGGGCGTGGAGTGGAGCGGGGCTCATCCGTGAGACCATTCGTACATGAAGGGGTGAATGGGGAGCCAGAATTTCCCAAGTCAGGAGTCGGGGATGGGGTGAAAGTGGAGTAAGATAGCCCGGACTAGAAGGAACAAAGCGGCCGCGAGAGGGGGGCGCATCGCTCCCCAGCGCTCCCGGTCCACTCCGTGGCAGTCCCGGGATTCTGCAGAGCTGTGGACCAGTGATCCGAGGAAAGACTCCCACTCCCGCTTTGGAAAGCGCCCCCACGTCTGGACAGCTCTGAGGATCCCAGCTCCGGGAGCGCACTGCTGAGGCGTTCGAGGTCCCGGGCCAGGAACAAAAGATGGGGCGCCCTTCTCCCACCCGCCGCCGAGCGCCCCTCTCGCCCGCCTCCGGGAGCGGGACCCCGGCCCCTGGCCGCGCCTCATTAGCAACACAAAGCCGGGGGTCTGGCGGCCCCTTTCATCCCGGCCGGGGCTGGCGGACGCCCGCCCCGGGAGGGAGGGAGGGAGGCTGGTCTGGAGCCGCGGAGATCCCAGCCCGGCCGCGGACTCGGCAAAAAGCAAGCAAGTAGGCAGGGGCTCCGCCGCCCGCCGAGCACCTGTGCGCGCCGCGCCCGCCGCGCCCCATGCGCTTTTGGGGACCGCGAGAAACTCGCTGTCCTCTCCTTACCCTCCAGCCACAGGTGTCGGCGCCCCGCGCTCTGCTGGAGCCACCCGCGGCCACAGCCAGCTGCGAGCCGTTTAGACAGGCGTTGACAGTGAAGAAGACGGAGCAGAGCTGCAGCCACGGGGCCATGGCCGTGCGCTCGCCACCCCGGCTCTACTCTGCGCCGCGGCCACCAGCCGCAAACTAGCCCCGAGTGGGCGGTGGCGCCCGCGGCTGCGGCTGAGGAGCGGGCCGCACCTCCGAGCATGCGCCGCCAGCTCGGGCCCCGCCCCTTCTCTCCCGGCCCCACCCCCAGTCTAGACGCCCTTGCTATGGCCCTGCGCCTCCCTCTAGGCCGTGTCCGTATGGCCACGCCCCAAGTAACTGCCGAGAAGCTGGCAGTTGCCTTCTTTTCCCCCTCACCTGAGGTCCTTTTTTTAAGGCAAAGGATTTGTGCAAGTGATGCCTGCTCCCTTCAAAAACTCGGGAAAATGCAAATATAATAATAGTAGTTTTAATAATAATTTAATAAGCACCTACTCTTTGCCAGGCCTCTTCTTGAATCCTCCCAACCACACAGGGAATTGTCATTATTATTGTTATCTCAGTTTTTGGCACAGGAAAGTTAGAATAATGTGATGGTTAGAAAAATCCTAGCTGGGACCTCGGACAAATGACTTCCTCTCTCCACGTTTCTGTTCCTTTCTCCTGTAGTCTGGAAAGCACCCTAGGCTGGGAGGATTCTAATGGCTAACACACAGCAAGCACTCAATAAATGCTACAATCGCTCATTAACTGTGTGCATAATGTCACACAGCTGGTACAAGCCAGACATGAGATTCAAATTCAGGTCTGACAAAACGAACACTCTTAACCACTACATTTGTCAAACTTACCCTTGCGAAGTGGACAGTATCTCTGGAAGAGGAAGCTCAGAGAAGTGGAGGAGCCAAGGTCATGCAACTTTTCACCACAATCCTTCTCCCTGCTTTGCCTTGTATATTTGGACCTTAATCCAACCACCTTCCCCTTCTCCATTGCCCATTCCTGTATCTAGACCACCATGCTGTCCTCCTCCACGACAGCTCCTCACTGAATCATTCCCAACCCTACAGCAGGGGAAGTCAGAGGCTGACATGAGGCCTGGACCACATGGGTATTAGTGAAACACTAAAGAACCCATGAGGCTGCCTGCTCCTTAGGCTCCTTAATTTATGTGACATTGCAACCTAATATGCTCCATAACTTATTAACCAACCCCCTGCTGAGGGACTTCTTTTATAATCAGTAATTCAAAAATATCCTCACACATTTATCTTAATTTAACTGTTTCCTAAGGATACACTCTTGGAATCAGAACTCCTGGATTACACATATTTAAAATTGCCAAATTGCTCAACATGTCATTGCCATCTTAATTGGCTAATGAAGTAGACCCTGTATTTAGTGGTCATTTGCATTTCTTCCTTTGTTCTAGACTAGAGTTTGACTCCTCCAGAAAAAGGATCAGTGCTTGGAGGTTATGATAGAGGGAGAACCTTGAGGGCACTGGGGAAAGGAGAGCATTTCTCCCTGGATTTTACTCCCATCACCATATGGTTGAGTGTCAGGTATGCCCTCCAAAGCTCCTTCTCCCTTTCTGGCCTCCACATCCACCCACCATTGAATATCCCTCCACCCACAACTCACTGCCCAAGCTGGCAACGGACAGCCTCTGAAAACATGCTGCAGAGTTGAGACAGCTCCAACTTTTCTAAAGGCGTGCAGAGGACACAAGAAAGAAAAGACCTACTTGTCCACTGTAAAACATGGTTAGAATGACATACTAACCATGGGTCAGGGACTGAAAGCCCTTCTTTCTAGAGAGGCCATAAACATTCCTGTGGGGTGGTAGTGGGAGTGGGGGTAGGAGCACTATATACATCAAAGGGTCAAGTTTGGTCTGCAAATAAAGGTAATAAATTGGCATTTGGAATTTGGCAATATCCTCCCCATTCTGGTCTTTTCTGTTGCTTCTTTTCCTCTCATCTTATTTATGTATGTATTTATTTATTTAAACCCTCACCCGAGGATATTTTTCCATTTATCTTCAGATAGAGTGGGAGGGACTGAGGGTGGGGAGAGAGAGAGAAAGCATGGACGTGAGAGGGATACATGGACTGGTTGCCTCCTGTATGACCCCAACATGCCCTGATCACAATCGAACCCGAGACTCATTGGTCCGAGGGCCAAGGCTTTAACCACTGAGACAAACTGGCCAGGGCTCATCCCTTTTGTTTATCTTGACCCTTCAGAATATTTGTGAGGCTACAAGAAGTGAACCTCTATACTGGGAGGGGGCCAGCTGCCATGAACCACACCTTCCTCCAGGCCACAGGCAAGCTCAGCTGTGTAGTTGACTAGAGAATGAAGCACTCCCCAAATACAACACATGGTCTACCCACCAAGGCCAGGATTGCCTGTGGCCCAGTCACAATTTCAGCTCCCGCCACCCTCTCTGAGTCACCCCTCTGTCTCCAGTGCCTGGCACTCTGCCTGGCACACAGAAGCAGGCAAGAAACTGTTGCTGCCTCCATTCCTGTTTGGAATGAAACTGGGATTAAACAGTTAAAATAAGCTGTTGACAAAATGCAAGCTATACTTCTCCAATGTACCTAGAACCTAACCAGATAAGGAAAATACTTGGCACAATGATTGGATTTTGTTAGGAGTCAAATTATCCCCTAAAACACAAGAAATGATAAAATGATCATGGAAATAATTTGTATCCTGAGTCATATTTAGCCAATTAAAGACAATTTTTATAAATAGAGGTTACAAGCAGTGAGCTTGTAATTTATTTTTAGTATTGTGATCAACTAGTGTGTTTTATGTATTAATCAAGATATTAAAGGTAAATATTCTACCCAACCTGCACCCCCAGTCTCCCAGCAGGCTAAGGCTGCAAGTTTCCCAGGGCTTTATGTGTAAGCTGGCACCCTCCTGAGAGCCCCCAGCCTCTGTCCTAATGCTCCAAGGCTGCTGCCCGGATGCCAGTCCAGCCTGGAGCAGTTTGGGCTTGAGCAGGATAGTTTTCATCATCTCCAACTCACAGGTGGGGACGCTGAGATTCAGAGAGGAGGCTCAAGGCTCATATCACACACCCGCCCCCCCCACTCTGATTTTGCATTGGGTGCCCCCCCCCGCCGAAGCCTTTCCCACCAGGCCACCCAAGAGGCCTAGACCAGGGACAGGCGGAATTCCTGGGGCGGGTGAACCAAATCTGCTCCCGGAAATCCCAGAACACTGGGGATTTCGTGCCAGGGCAGTGCGCTCCCCAGCACTACATGGAATTCCCGCATCAACCGCCACTTCCCATTTCTTTTTCTGGAGGTAACAAATCCCAGTGCGCCCAGTCTCCATAGTAACCGGGAGGGGGCGCCTAGGGTCCAGGTCCCAGAATGCCCTAACAATCTCAGACTGCGGCAAGAAGAGAGCAGCCCATCATTCAAGGGCAGCAATGTTCAACCTTTTTCAATCTCGTGGCACATAAACTAATTACTAAAATTCTGCAGCACACAAATATACATATATATATATATACTTTTTTGCTGATCTGACAAAAATAGGCATCATTTTGATTCATTCACAATGGATGACTATTGTTTTGTTGGCTGCTGTCATTTTTTTTTTTTTTTTTATCCTCACCAGAGGACATTTTCCCATTTTTTTGTTCAGGTAGAGTGGGAGGGAGAGAGAGGAACAGAGAGAGAGAGAGAAACATCGATGTGAAAGGAACACATCGAGTGGCTGCCACCCGCACGACCAACCAGAGCCGGGGACAAACTGCAACCGAGGTACATGCCCTTAGCGGGAACCGAACCCAGGTCTCTCAGGACCGCAGGTCGACGCTCTAACCGCTGAGCCAAACCGGCCAGGGCTGCTGTCATTTTTTAATTTGACAATCTAACGAAATAATCAGGTACTGCATGTTTTAAAATTCTTGTGGCAGCCTGGTTGGTGTAGCTCAGTGGAGTGCGCAATGTTTCATGGACTGAGAAGTCCTGGTTCGATTCCCCTTCAGGGAGAGGTCCTGGTTCGAGTCCCGGGATGTTTCGCTCTCATAAAAATGTTTCTATCACTCTCTCCCTTCTCTCTCTGAAAAATCAATAAAAACATTTTTTTTAAATGGCAGACCTGTTGAAAATTGCTGTTGTAGGGCAAAGCCCCCAGTGCAGGTGCAAAGACTCTATTACCCAGAGCTGGTGCTAAGTTTGGGGAAAGTAGAATCCAGGAGGCAGTAAGAAAACAAAAATAAGGGCTTTAGTAACAATGTGTCTTTGAGCAATTCACTTAACCCATCTGGATGTCCAATTTCTCATCAGCAACACAGGAATGACATGAATTCAGGCCTCAGTGGATTTTTGCAAATCTGAAGTAAACAAATGGCTATGATGGTGCTTGAATGTTACTGTTGCAGGGAGGAAGACCAGGAGTTGATGCAGTCTGGCCCAGGGGTAGTAGGAACCCAGACAATAGCTGGGAGAGATGGTCACCTCTATCCCCTTCAGGAGCTAACACTCTGGTTTGGATCTACACCAGACTGGAAGGTTGTGGACCAAATCCTGTTTATCACTGATTCATTCATATCCTCAACAAGGACTCATGGAGTACCTGAACCATAGCAGGCATTCTGCCAGGAGCTGGGAACCAGTGTGAACAACACAGACACTGTCCCCAGCAAGACACTGTCCTAGCTGTCATAGAACCTACAAGCAAACATTCCATGGGCACTACTCAAATAACTACTGGACCAGGAAATAATTATAAGTAGATGGGTTGTCTCTAAAAAAGTAATACCTGAGCTGGGGTTCCAAGTACAAGAGCTACCTGGACAAAGGGGAGGGGAGCAGAGAGAGGAAAAGTGTTCTGGACAGAGGGAACAGCATATGCAAAGAATCAGAGGCAGTAGGGAACATGGAATCTTCAAAGAACCCAAAGAGGCCAGTGTGGTTGGAGAAAAGAGAAGTGTGAAGAAATGGTGCAAGGTGAGCTGGAGAGACCTGCAGGGGTAGCAGGCAGGTCTCTCTACCCTGCTTTGAATCTAAGAGTACCCAGCACTGGCAGCTTCTGAGGGGTTTAAGGGCAATAATGACAGGGCTGTATTTTGA